CCAACGCGGTTGCAAGCAAGATGTCTCTGCACTGACCCAGACAATAACATGTCCTTCACCAATACTAATTCTTACTGATAATTTTTTCACAAGTTTTAGGTATACCGTATGTTGTATATGAATGAGACTCTTTACATGCGGCATGGATCTCCCATTATATGGATGGTCTGGAAATATCTTGTCATAAAATACTAAATATTCCTATAATTTTGTTAATCTTGATTGCTTCCTCAGTATATATTATAATACAAGCATTAATAATATGCGTTCAAAAATTACTTTTCAACGACAACACTTCTAAAGAATACAGTGTTTCCAATGTTACACGTCTACAATGAATTTCTCATTTTATTTCCGTATATTAAAATTTTTTACATTTTTAAATATATGAAAAAAATTAAATTTTCAAAATTATTTATTGTGTCAATTGAATTGATATGTGTCAATGACACCCTGTGACATTGTCTCCGACTATACGCATGTGCGCAAAATTTCAAATCAATTGGCCAGGTAGGTGTTAAATATTGATTATAAGATTTGTAGCAGACAGACAAACAATCAAGAAGTGAAGTTAAAGAGCAATCAAGTTGTTTTTACCATCTAAACTTTCAATGTCAAAATCAGCAAATTTTTCTTACCTTAAGCCAGCAAGGCCCCATATATGATCACTTCATTTAGTTCATTAACACGTTGACTCTGATTGCTTCATCTAGTACTATTATTTCATTTTTTGTACTGTTTTTAAACAGGGTTGCCAGACGGTCATTTTTTTCCGGACAAATTCCGTGATTTAGTTTTTCTCAATTGCGTTGGCCGGCTAAAATTTATGATAAGGGTACTTCCTAATTAAATTTTAAATACTACAAATAGAAAATAAATGGAATTTTTATAGCAGAACCTGCAAATAAACTAGTATATATTGAGTTACCGGCCTTTTTGTTCTCGGATTTGGATAATTTTAGGCAACCTGAATTAGGGTAAATACTATATTCTGACACCATAAGGACGTAGCAAGAAATAAATGGCTATAAATAGATCACTGTTTTTGCAACTTGAGTTCTGATTGGTTTACGTCACTCTCGAAACACCACACTATGCCCCAGCAATGATAAAATGTCACAAACTGTTGCCATATTTATTTAAAAGCCTTTAGAATTCAAATCTACAAAATCGCTGAATCCCGACACTGTGTGACTAAATGCGGCATATTGTGAGACTAATTCCAACAGCACTTTGATATAGTAATTCTGACACCCTGTGTCAGAATTCTGACACCCTGTGACACTGCTGTGTGTCATAATTCCGACACCGTGTCAGAATTAGTTTTCCTGTGTCTAAAACCGTCTCTTAAATAAATCGTCTATTAATTTATTTGCCACTTAAAACCAGCAAATACAAGTATACTTGAAGGATTTCTAATATATTCAGACTTATTTAAAAGTCTCAAACCATAATATCCTCTCTACACAAACAGTATATCACTATTTAGTAAAGCAAGGTCAACTATCAACTTTCATACGCGTTTCGATGTTCTCACTAGCTGACTTGGACTTCTGCTCTGGAGATCTCAACATTTTCCTGTTAGATCTAGTGTTTTGCGGAAATCTTGCATGCAATAGTATGACATCACTATTTCAACCATCTACGCATGCGCGGAACTAAGACCAAGCTTAATATAAAGGAAAAAGTTGAGGGGAGTTGGAATTACCCACAGTGTCAGAATATGGTGCATTTACCCTATTGTACCACTACGTCCTGGAGAAATACATTTTGTGGTACGCATAAGTACCACTTTGGAGTCAACGTCTTAATTGAACTACTTCATCTACTTATATACAAAAATTTTTGAAAAATACATAGAAATAAATATATCTTAGAATTGGTCATACTTTCAATTACAATCATCAAATATTGAAATTTCTATGTTGGCCCAGAAAGGGTCAAGTAGGCATTGTCACTTATTCAAATCAACCATAATTAATGTTATTGCTATTTTTAGTGTTGAAGTTTCATTGTGCAGAGCAGAGATATAATATTTTTACATTAGCAAATTTAATATTATAACCCTCCTCCCATTAATCTATCTTTAATGCATTCTTGCAAATACTGAAATGGCAATGGATATGTAAATCTCACATTTTTTGAGCTTACTTATGTAGCCAAAAACTATGATACTGGAATGTCTTCTGCCTTTTAGTAAATTTATTACAACACTTCTCTTTAACTTCACTTCTTGTTTGTCTGTTTGTCTGTCTGCTACAAATCTTGTAGGTAGGTACTAGGTAATTGAAATTTTACACACTTGCTCAAAGTTGGAGACAATGCATGAATCAAATCACAAAATAAATAATTTTAGGAATAAAAATTTTTTTCTAATAATAAAAAATAAAAATAATTTTCTCAGCTACAAATCTTATAATTGATATTTGACACACTTTTACCTGTCCAATTCATCTAAAATTTTGCACACTTATGTCATAGGCAATGCATGGATCAATTGATAGAATAAAGAATTTTGAGAAGAAAAGTTATATAGGCCTATTAAAAAAATTGATAAATTAATTTTTTTATGATAAAAATAAAATGAGAAATCAGTGTACATCTTTAACATTGGAGACACTGGTGACTGGATTCTTTAGAAGTGTTGCCTTTAAAAAGTAATTTTTAAATTTAAACATATATTATGGCTACCAGTCATATATAGCAGTTGCCACACTCAGGATGATGTATGTTTTCAGTGAATTTTCCTGCGCATTTTCACTTTTTTTAAGCTATTGCTGTGCACAGTTGGCGCAATGTAATGAAAATTGATCATCTTTGCACATGTGTTCGCGCAATCCCGGCCATCAATTCTACGTCGCGCTGCCGCGCACAAGCAGTTTGTGGAGGAACAGACGTAATACTCACATTACTCAGTACAGTATGCCTTTAATTATCTTTCAATACGGTAATATATGATTTTTCTTGATACGGAAATTTGGTGAATGAGAAATCTAGAACTTTATTTTAGAAGAAATTTCCTCCAAAGTCATATGGCAACACTGAACACCGTCTGTTTACATTTCGTATGTATAACAGCCGCAGTTTACGATTACCGTACGTTCCGTATCTGACAAGGCGGACAAGCAGAAGAGTCAGAAGTAACCCGGACATGTCTTACATTTTATTATTGTCAGTTCGACTCGCATAGTCAATATACTCGCATATATTGTCGACTAAAATAGTAGAACTATTTTAGCTTTCTAAAGTACGGTGCACGGCGCATTTTTTTACCAGCATAGTACGGCGCACCGCGCAGGTCGTTAAAATGACAAAATAAATTCCCGCGCACCTGGCACATCTTCCTGACCATGGAGCAGTTGCATACTATGTTTCCCACCCACTTATTTAGGGTAAACGCGGTATATTCCGACATCGTAGGTAATTCCGTCACTTCTCTAGTTTTTCCTTTATATTAAGCTTTGTTTTAGTTCCATGCGTTCATTGATGGTTGAAATGGTGACGTCATACATTTGCGTNAGGAACGAAAGTAGGTCGAGGAACGAAAGTGAGTCGAGGAACGAAAGTGAGTCGAGGAACGAAAGTGAGTCGAGGAACGAAAGAGAGTGATCTATTTAACATGGATTGTCTAATGTGTTTAATCAAAATTTGTATGATGAGTCAATCAGTAAGACGCGCTTTTACTAATTATAGGAATTTCTAATCGAATACATTGGTTTTATGTATTGTATTGTATTGGCTTATAAAACTGAAAGTGAATATTGTTCTCTCAGATTTTCTGACACGACCACTAGCTGAACATGATCGATGTCCAAACAAACGTGCAAAAACAAAGTTAAATGTTCGCATGTTTGTCATGAGGTTAATTTTAAAATCATAATTCATAGCATGGATTTTTAATGTTCTGATTTACGCTTTCTTGAAATTTGTAACTCTACTCAAATGAATCATATATTATTATTCGAACCTATTTAAAGATTTTGCTATTGAAGAATGAAGGGTTTGATGTAGCTGCTCGCGTGTCCACAATCCACATTATGAGAGAGACCGCCCGCCAAGAAGGCAAATGATTCTTGCAAGTGCTGCGTGACTTCATCTGTGAAAGAAGGTACGACAAATTCAGCACAGCATTACATGTAATCAATTATTTCTGGTGATGTGCTTTTTAAGGGCTTTTGGCCATTACTGTTGAAATTGTAGCTCTACGGGCACGGTTAAATTTATTCATGCCCACGGGTGAAATTATCCATGGCCATTGGCCACTGGGTGAAATTACCCATGGCCACGGGTGAAATTGTTCCACGTTCACGGGTGATTTTTGCTCTTCTACGGGTGGCTCCTGCCCATTATTCCAGTCTGGGTGGCAAAGCAGAGAGTTTTTTAGACTCTCCCTCAAGTTCATTTTGAGTCCTATAAGTAGACCAGTAAAGTATCCTGGATACCAGCATTATCATACTTAAGAAATTGGTTTAAATCTCAAGTAAATGAGGAAACTAAAATGAACTGATGTCTGATTCTAAAAAAGCTCTGGTTTGCCACTATGCTATAGCATAGCGGCAAACCAGAGCTTTTTTGGAATCAGTTCATTTTTAATTTCCTCAAAAACTCAAGATTTAAACCAATTTCTCAAGTATGATAATGCTGGTATCCATTATACTTTACTGGTCTACTTATAGGACTCAAAAATGAACTTGACACTTGAGGGAGAGTCTAAAAAATTCTCTGCTTTGTCACTATGTGCTATAGGACTTACTGGTCTAGGTACTTATAAATGGACTCAAAAATGAACTTCAGGAAAGGTCAGCAGGGGCGGAAGAGTGACAAAAATGTTCTCATTTGCCAAATTGCCACTATGCTAATTGCTAAGTCATATTGGCAATTTTACGTACATGGATGAAAAAATAAAGATGATGGAGGCAAGATCTACCTAGGTATCTAGGGCTAGAAGTGCTAGAACAAGCAACAAGGACAGCCAAACTTGAAACAGCCATCGTACTCACCGACTTGATACAAGCGACCTTCAGGGCTAAAAATGGTAATATGCCGGTCAAACCCTGCACTAGTTCCTCGAGACATGACTTAAAAAACTCAAAATTACTAACGGCAAATGCAAAATTTGCACGTCGCTTCGCGGCGTTGCAATGATCCAATGACACCGCACAGGCTGTTTTGAAATTAGTCTTCAATGGATTCTACCAGAAGACCGGCAGCAAGCATGATAGTTATATATCCCAATTATTTACCGCTCGCCAAAAATTACACGTAAACAAAATTGGTCAATTTCAATTTTTTCTTATTTACGATTACTGTTCAAGGTTGGAAGTAATTCAAGAAATGTCATCCATTTGATTTTGAAGTTCAAATCGAAACCAATTAATGAGAGTGACTGCAAAATTGGCCGCAAAAATGACCGCTGCTGGTCGGAAAAGCCGCAAAACTTTCACTTATAGCCAAATTTCGGTAATTTCGAGCAATGTATAGATCTCCCTAAGTAGTTAGGAATGTATAAGTAATAGCTTTATTTAATTTTGCGTAGAAGTGTATAATATATAATATGTTTATTGCAATCTTGAACCCTTGTAGTCATGAAACTGGCGAATGAGTGCAAAATCGGGGGGAAAAAATTATTACGACTGAAGCATCGTTGTCAGTTTCAAATGAATGCCTGGGTGAACACGTCTCCTTTACTCTGGAAGAATATACTTTATGCCAAAATTTGCACATTTAAAGAATTGGATTTGGGGCGTGGGGACTCTAAAAAAAGACACTCCGGAGTCAGGCCTCTACAAGGGTCATCAGCCACGCATCACTTATTCATTTGTTAGTAGTGTCACAGGTTGTAAATTACTACAATCTACGATATTAAGCTCTACCTGAGGATCGGGTTCGTTGACTAAGGTAGTGAGGGTAAGTAAGACACACAAGTCCAGATAACGTATCTTGCATTCGGGGTGGTAATACAGAGTTGCGATACAGAGCTATAAGCTACGGCATCGACCGTAAGGTCAGAGAACTCTAACGACACGCTACATCGCGGAGTGCTCATCAGCTACTGGGGTGATTTGCTTAAGGGGACCCACTACCCTCCGGAAAAACTTCTACAGTTATTATCCGATCATCATGAAACTTCACATACATGCGTAAAATGTAAAAATAAGAAAATTTTGCTCATATAAATTTTTCGAAAAAATTGATAGAAAACGTGAAATTCATAGAAAACGGCTAAAAAGGGGTACTTTAGAAAATCTATCTCCTCCTACAAATATCATCTTACAACATCGAGACACGTATCATTCTATTCGTAAAGACCATACCTATAGACTCTGTGATCACTTTTTTCATTTTCTCCTTAGTTTTTCTTTTATGCGCGTTTTATCCCATTTTTTCCATTTTTCCCCCCTCCCCCCCCCTTCTCCCCCATATAAAAAACGAACCAGACTGAAATTCAAAAAAGTGATCACAGAGTCTATAGGTATGGTCTTTACAAATCGAATGGTATATGTCTCATTGCTGTAGCTGGAAAACTGTAGGAGGAGATAGGTTTTCCGTGACAGTAAGTTGAACTTTTCAAACTTTTCAGGACGGCGCGACAAAGTCCCGTGCGCCTCGAAATAGGCACTCAATGTAGCATGGATACCAAACTACAGGCTTCTGTAGCTTAATGCACTCAAGGATGCTAGCAGCAACTTGTAGCGCACCTCTACGTACAATGTTAGGAGGGTAACTGAGCTCAGATGCCAGATACACCAAGATATGTAGTCTTGCCGCTGTAATTTTCTAAGGTCTATTTAGTGAAGGAACTCCACCCCCCGCCCCCCATCAAAGCCCGGCCATCTGCGTCAATATTGCCGTACATGGATCGCAGCGGTATCGTTGGAAAGCTCAGAATGTCAGCTTTAAGATGAAACTATGCATGTAACTGCAGCACAACTCAAGTAGAAACTATATTCAAAGATTTCAGCAGCTAATTACTTTATATATAATTACTTAAAGAACTCTCTCACCCGCTTCCCTTTAAAGAGACGTCATGACCGTAAATATTGGCGTACAGCGATGGCAGTGGTACCATTAGAAAGAGCAGAATTCCAGCTTTCAGATGAGCATAAAAACCGAAAAACGCCCAAAATTGAAAATTTTAGGGTAGTGGGTCCCCTTAAGGTTGCTAGACCTTTCATAAGCTTCGCTTCCGCCCACTACTGAGGTCTTGATCGCGTGATCTATCACGTGTCTATCAGATGTTGACTCGTGGACTCGATAACTAACTAGGTCTGTTGGTAAACGCATTCGGACTTGTTTCCGCGACCTACTCTCGGACATGACCTACTCTCGGACAGTAGGGAGGAAAAAAGGAGACCAAGCCAGGTGGAAGCGACATAAAAGGAAAGGCTAGAGGGGTGTAAAAGTTCTTGTTAAGGGTGAGATGAAAAAGAAAGGGAAGAGAAATTCAAGAGAAAATTTATTTGGTTTATTTTTTTATATCCAATTTATTGCGCTGTACAGTTTACATCTATATTAGCTATGGGACCTCTTAGGCCCTGAATGATTATTTGTGTTCAATTAAATTATTATTGATAGTTATTCATATTTTATAATTGCTGACACCTGTAGCAAGATTTTCTGTACAGTTTTGATTGAGCAAGTGCAAATATGTATGGAGTGTGAAAGAGTACTTAGTAAGGAGCAGAAAGGTTTCAGGTGTGACGAAAGAACAGAAGATAACATATTTGCTGTGAATGAATTGATTGGAAGAATGAAGAGAGATGGAAGGAGAGTCTACTTGGCGTTTATAGATATAGAAAAAGCGTATGATAGAGTTGACAGAAAATTGTTGTGCCAGATATTGGATAAAATTGGTAAGAGTGAAAAAGTATGTGAGGATAGTTAAAAGTATGTACGTAAACACTCGAGCTAAATATAGGCTTGGAGATGTAGAGACTGACTGGGTGAAGTGCGTGAGGGGTGTTCGACAAGGATGTATCCTGTCTCCACTTTTCTTCAGCCTATACACTGAAGAGATGGCTGCCAGACTGAGAAGAATGGATGTGGGAGTGTGTGTTGGAGATGAAAGACTAAAAATGCTATTGTATGCTGATGATGCAGTAATAATGAATGAAAGCGGGGTTGAACTTTAGAGTATGCTTGACTGTACAACTGACTAAATATATATATTACGGAAGTAGAAGAATATGACATTAAGTCTCCTTATATGACGGAAGTAGAGGTAGAGACTTAATGTTCTGTGTGAGAGCAAATGCTTTGAGTGTGAATGCACGGACAAACAGATGGAATGATAGAAGAGTGAATATTTGTTTTATGTGTGATAGAAGGGTGAGGAAAACTGCTGATTAACTAGCTTTTTCGTGAGTAACTAGCTTCATAAAAACATTAGAAAAAATCACAACAATTGAAAATCAAACGAAATACACTGAGCTGAAAATCCGAGAGGTTTCCGGAGACACTGCAGTAAGTCCTCGTCATCACTACGTGCTCCTGTCTCCTAGTTCGTCCCGTGGCCGACATCATCAAGCAGGTCACGTTGGCTTAATATTGCTTGCATCCAGATAAGTTAACTTTTCTTTTTAGCCAATCATGTTTATCTCGCTTATTCCTTTATTTCCATCTGTCTCATTTAAAACATCATTTGGGGATACCTATGTTATTATATTTTTTTACCGTAACAAATCTTGATTGATCACTTTATAATTTCAATCCCTTTCCGAAAATATACTCTCCAAAATGAAGTAGAATGAATTAAATGTGGGCGGCAAAATTAACCCCCACACAATACTGTAATGCTCTCTATTGTATAGCTCTTCACTGGATCCCGTTCGGTTGACCACCAAGTTGTGGGGACTGAATATGGCAGCAGTGGAGCTCGAAGTGTTGGAGAAGAAGGACCTCGACGTGTTGTCACGATACCGCGAGAAAAATGTAATAATGATTACATATTTTCGTGCTTTCGGTCAGTACGGGCTCACCGTCACGAATATTACAAAAAAATATTTATTCAATAAAGATTTCGGCATTGCAGTCTTTAGATTCGAAGTGCGTTATTTCGTTGTACATGTGCCCAAGAATAGTAGGATGTGGTTTTGACGATGCAGGTAGGGAGTATAGATCATTCACAAAATATTTTTTTTTTACCGACGACCAATTAATAATTGATTTGCTACACATTTCCGATCGTGCTATTATTATCTTATATCGAATTATTTTAGGTCGTTATTTGCATTATGCAGCAAGCGAACGTTTATTATTTAAGTTGGGTGATGCAGGAGTGTAAATTATTATTAGAATTAATATAAATGCAGTGCACATTATGATCAATGTTTTCCTTTACGTAGTTGAGAGCAGGGAATTGAGCGCAGTTGACGAAAGGTGTAATGAATGATGCCAGTCTTGCTGTTTATACTGTACAATGTCCTTTTTGTTTTGTCACATTATCTTTCTCGTGCCAGAAATTAGTGACGTAAATTACTTGACTTAAATTTGAAACCATGTCTCTGAAATTTATTCTGATTCGAATTCAATCTTATATGAAAGTCATGCAGCCGATCCTGCAAGCCGAGATTTTATAGTTAAATTTTAAGGACAAACTCCGTAGATTTTATCAAGCCTCCCGCACCTGCATGGAAGGCTCTTCGAAGGCAGTGCATTATTCAATGTAGATTATGAAGATTTTGCAATTCCTGCGAGCTAGTTACTTTCTTATGTATTTACTGAGAATGTTCAATGAAAGCTCAATCAAAATCTCCAAAGTTAGAATGTTACTTTGAATTTAATATTCATGTAGACGGCTAGCACTAGCCCTACATTGTTTCAGGGAAGCCATAATCCAGGCAAAATGTGCTCAGCTGGCCAATGAAACGCTTGCCAATGGGGCCATTACACTCATTATAATTTTGGCATGTCGAATCGAGAAAATAAAAATAAATTTGAAGCAGCGGCCTCCAAGAGGCGTCCCACTCATCGGAAATACTTACGACGATTCCGTTAATTTTTGGCAGCCCAAATACTAGCTCGAGGGCGTTGGCGTCTCGGCCCCGTCCCCGCTTGTCGAAAGCGTCCAGGGCGAGAAATCCAAGTTGGCGGACTGTCATCAATAGAGACAAATATATCAGCCTTTATATTAATAATATGCGTTTAAAATTTACTTTTTAAAGACAACACTTCTGATGAATCCAGTGTCTTGGATGTTACACATGTACAATAAATTTCTAATTTTATTTTCAAATATTAAAAAAATTATTTTTCAACATTTTTAGGGTATCAAAATTTGGTAAATTTTCAAAATTATTTATTCTATCAATTGATTCATGCATTGTCTCCAACCACGTGATCTAAAATATTTGAGGTCTGTTTACCCCTAATACGGGCTGGCTTGGTGATATTCTGGATTGAAAATGGGTCTCGCACAGACTCCAAGAATAAGGATGCAGGTGTGGCGACTTTGCCCACATTTACTACGTTTGACTCCAATGAATCAGTGGATTTGAAGGCCAAGGCAACTTGTAAAATTCACTCAAATCAGAGAGAAATTTTAGGTGCGGCAAGATATAACTGGGCGGGTCAATAAATACAACAGCAATTGGTGATATGAATTTATTTTTGGTTAAGCTCACGCGACCTGCTCGATGGTGATGATCTCGATGGAAGTGGAAGATGAGGCCGGTGGTGGAGACAATTAAGGGGCTTGGCTTGGCGAGATCTCGAGGCTGCATGAAGACACGCGTAGTGAGTGGTGCATGGTGTTGTCGGCGTCACGTATAGAAGTTACTGGAGGTATGTGACAACGTAGGCACGAGGAGATGTGGATACTTGGAGATGTGGACACGTGTAGATGACGCCGTAAGCACGTTGTAATATCACTAAATGCACGTGGAGAAAATCACTAAATGCACGTGGAGAAAATCACTAAATGCACGTGGAGAAAGTCACCAAATGCACGTGGAGACAATCACTAAATGCACGTGAAGAAAGTCACTAAATGCACGTGGAGACAATCACTAAATGCACGTGAAGAAAGTCACTAAATGCACGTGAAGAAAGCCACTAAATGCACGTGGAGACAATCATTAAATGCACGTGAAGAAAGTCACTAAATGCACGTGAAGAAAGTCACTAAATGTACGTGGAGAAAGTCACTAGAATAGAATAGAATAGAAGTGTCGGCACTGAAGAAATAGGCCCATGGCCTGTTGCCGATTCTTGAATTTTTCGTGACTTGATTCACAAGGGATCCGGCCTTTGGAACCCGATCTTTCCATAGCTGACGATTGATTGAGATAGCTGCTGGACTTATTGCCTGGTCCGTAATTTGCTAGGCATTTTAAGACTGAACATATGCTC